TTCCCTTTTTTTTTTTTTGTCTGCAGATAAGCTTAACTCCAAAACCTCATGAATGATTAAGATCCAAGAAAGCTTTACTTAAGGCAAAATAAACATTTAATGCTGAAGTGCTTTATGTTTTTTTTTTTGAAAAGGATAGGAAGGAGAAGGAGATGCCAACTTAGGTCTGGGCAAAAACCTTGCAAATGATTAACGTTGAAGACTCACTCTGAGACTTGGTTAGTAAAGATTACAGCCTGTATTGCTGAGTTTACAAGGAATAGTGCACATAATCAACTGACTAAGCAGATGATGACAGATGTTCCGGACCAATGATTGGAATCACTTAGGCAGCAGTGCTGACAAGACTTGTGAAATGTTAAAACTACTCAGAACGTATCATCTGACCAGCATGCCAACATGGCCAAGTTGTAATGGTCAGGTGTGAGAGTTGGCATGGTTTCAACATCTATCTTAGGCTTTCTTTCATACATTACATTACTGTGTAACACTTAAAGCAACACCATCAGTGCATCAAAGGAGAGACAGACTGAAGTGTGTGACATTTTACTACAAAGACAGAGTGAGATTTAGATATTTTTCATACTTATGAAACATACCAGTTTCATTTAAAGCATTCTTAGCATAAGACAAACATCTGCAAACAGCCAAGAGATGGGTTCAACATGGCGCACTGTATCTTTTCCACTGTGTCGACAATCATAACTGGAGTGATCGCTTACACACGTCCAAACTGCCTTGTCAGGGAATTACCGTGAGTCAGGGTGCCTTTGTTAGCAGTCTCTCTTACACTGCAGCATGCTGTTTGTCAATTTTTAATGGCTGCTTCTCTAGTTATACAAACAGACAAGAGAGGGTTGACAGGGCCGAGTGAGGGCCTCTGCCATTGGTCATCCACGGTGGGGGGGGACAGCTGAGTTTGACAGCCAGCAATTTCAAGGATTTCTGTGAGCAGAAAGAGATCAGGGGAGGTTAGTGGGAGCACTGCTGCCATCTCAGCAGGAGAAGATCAAGTACAGTCTGGGACGAGGAAGGTTTTTATTTTTTCCCTCCAGACACACAGACTCGCTTGCTGTCGGCTCTTAGAAAAATGATTGCTCACAAAGAGCAAAAAAAAACATTTTTAAGTGCAAAAATCTGTATTTCTGGGTGTTGTGGTAAGAGCTTATGTGAAACCTAAATCAGAGAATATATTTGGGACAATAGAGCTTGATTACTGTAGCACCTCGAGCAGAGACTGCATTGTAATCAGGACTTCTATGGGGGTGCTAGATTGTTCAAAGCAGGGGCTGAGTTTTTTTTGACACAAACAAAATAAAGTAATATCATCCAGTTATTCATAGCTTTTAAATCCATAGACATAGGTAGTTTTGTACATTTAGAGCGGTGAATTGTGTGCGTATAAAGAAATGTATCACAACAAGCAGGACCAATTCAAATGCAATCCAAACTAGTCATCACATAATGTATCAGTGCTTCTACGAAGACTGGACTTGGTAAAGTAGATTTATAACTGTTTTTACAGAAACATCTTTACATACTGCTAGCTAGCATCTATATGCCAGCCGCAGCAAACGTTAGCCTAAGGCTTCTAACTGCTGCTAAGTGAATTGTAAGGCACATAGCATGCGTAGAGAAAATTGCTACAAGCTTTTAGTTACATCAGAAGAGTGCTTCAGAAGAGAAGAGTCAGAAGAGTCAGTTTATTAAGTTAAAAAAGTAAAAGGCTACAACCATACAGTAGGTAGTACTGGCACTTCATCAGTGTCCAGCCTGCATCAGCAGCATGTAATTCGCTAACACCAATGTGTTTTCTGTGTTGTAATATGATAATGAGACTGGGAAGTAATGGCTTCTAGATGTAAACATTATTACACTCCTTGAGCCAGCGACAAGGAGCTGCTGTTTGGATACAGGCACTGATGAAACACAAGACCCAGGACAAAAGAAGGGCGCGGAGAGGAATGAGATGCAATGTTGGATGAAACAAATTCACTTAATTAGCAACTCAACCTGTTTGAAAAAAGACTCTACTAACTGGGGATAAAAATAAAAAAGCAAAACTGAGACTGGATGGACAGGTGGGTGGAACAGAGTCAAACTAACAGGCAGCCAGAGAGGACTTTATTTTAGGGATGAGAACATTTCACACCCCTTCCAAACAGTTTGTGTTGGCACGCTGAAAATCAATATCCAAGCTCTAAAAAGTGTGAGCTGAAACAACATAGCTCTTGCAGGGGCTTTGTGTGTGTGTGTGTGTGTGTGTGGCAATTGCAATCACACAAAAATATTAAATTTAATACATTTGGCATTCAATGTGCAGTGACAAAATGCTTTCTTATAGTTGCAGCCCCCTCCCCTCCCCCACATGTATCTCTGTGGCCTGACAGTGGGACAACAGCCAGCAGTGGGAGTAGTTCAGCTTAATTAGCACTTTTCAAATCATTTGAAATCTTGGCTGCTGTGATTCAGCTTTTTTAAACTGCAGCATGGTAACAACAAAGACAAACAGGAGGAAGAGTCTATGATCCTCTGACTCCACACAGACATCATGGCTGAGGTACCTTTCAGATGCTTTAAGCGTGATGGAAGAGAGCCAGTCTCTCCTGACTAACAGACCTTTCACATCTGTCAAAACAATGTGAGCAAATCCATTTGTTTTGTCCACTCTATTATTATTGATGCCCACTTTGCACATAGACACAGCCTTGTCTCTGTGTTTTCTTTGTTAATTTTTTGTACACAAACCGGTATATTGTTTTACCTCTAAAAGAGAAACTTCACAAAAAAAAAAAAAAAAAACTGGATGCATCTTTTGTGGCAAATGTTTGCTGAGTTTGCCACCCAGACTTGGAAAAAAAGGCTTATTATTTGTCATTGTCCCTCTGCAAATATATGTTTTAGTGAGCATTGTTGTTAGATGTCTGCTCTGGGGGACAGAATCTGAGTGTGGCTGATCATGCTGAATGGATGTCTGATTGTTAATTCAAGGTCAATGATACAGGAGCTGGGGATGAGAATGTCATTGTCAGCAGGACAAAAGAGAACACTGTAGGCCATTCTGTATCACTGAATTTCCTTTCCAAATGTAGCATTAACAAACACTCAGCCTCTCAGTTTGTCTACAGAATGTCTGTCTGCAAGGCTGCAATTTACTGAACTCAGCCTGCAGAAAAGTAATCCAGAGACGCACCTTTTTTTTTCTTCTTCTGTACTTTTTTACGTCCTTTGATGCTGATTAATTTGATCAAAAACTACTCTCAGGATATTTTGCTTCAATGTTTTTTCAGAGACCAAGCTCTTTGCTCAGATGCAAGAGGTCAGACTAATCAGAAATGACACAGAGTATAACATACAATGCATCTTCTTGTGGACAGAGGAGGAACGAATCAGCTTGAGTACGCTTTGAATTAGAAGTTGATATCAACTTTGGCTTTTCTTTAAGGTTAAATCCATTTTATCTTTTAAGTATTTTTGAAAAGGTTATGTATGATTAATCAACATGCATGAACGTTCTTAAGATGTTATGTTGAATTAAAATTGTACATTTGTCTGTTTAAAAAAATCTTTAAATTATAGAAACTTGTTTTTCTTCACTCTGGTGATGCTCCAGGAGTTCCTTCATGTACAGTATAGGTCAAGCAGCAATTCACGATAAAAGCGCCTCCGTCATAAAGACGGGCAATTAGGCTCATTATTCAATAAGCTCTCTTCAGTACGGGAGACAGAATCATATTGCCCCGGTTGTCCTTGACACATCTTATCATGTAATAGCGGGATTTGGAAATTAACTGAAATCGAATTTACTGGGAGTTATATGTTACGATAATAATTGCTTAAATTTACATCAAACGATTAACGATCAGCAGGTGTGTACCCAGCTCTGCATCTAGTTTATTGCAATGCACTTTTACGTTGGCACTTTTACGACAGGCAGACTCAAAAATAAAAAATAAAGGGACGCGAAGTCGAGTCCACGTCTGCACATCAGAGAAGAACACAGAGAACACGGCCTCTACTTTACTGACTTTGTGGCTCATTTTGAGACATTTTAGTCAGACACGGGAACACACCAGTGTTGCCAGATCTCGCGAGAGAAACAAGCAACCAGCTCTATGGAAACAAGCCCAAAACAAGCGACCTGGCTCCTCAAATCAATAAAATAAAGCCCAACAGGTGACGTAACCTACCACATTGTGTAAAAGAGAGGCAACTTGATAACAGTGTATATATATATATATATGTATATATATATATACAAAATCGGAAGAATGCCTTCAAGTCATCTTCCACCTGAGGTCGGATCCAGTCTCTTTCTCTCTCTTTCTCCCACTCTTTATTATATATTTTTTCCATACTTCCCCCCTTATTACCGGGCATGTTCACTCGAGCATGTTCACTCGGGCATGTTCACGCGAGCGGGCTATCCAAGGAAATGGGGTTGTGGACGGATCCTGGCAAAGGACAAACTAACTAACGCGATCGTGTTTATCTTTATTGTGGAGAGTTGGGAGTGAATCGGTTCATACAGGGAGCAAAGCCCAAACAAGCAACTGCACTTAAGAAAACAAGCCTACAAACCCGCGACTGACGATATTTGCGAGTGACTTTACAGAAAAACAAGCCCAAAGTCGCTTATAATAAGCAGACCTGGCCACACATTTTGGGATTTCTCCTTAATGAAGGCTGACCACATTGTGTACCCGTGCTTGTGCTAATGCATGAACTGTACCGTGCTGAAGCACACCTTTTCCAAGCGTGCCAGGGCTGAGGAAGTGTATCGTGCTTGAGCACGTATCGGAGCCCTCGTACTCATCAAACACACTGGACTTTAGTGGTTTGAAGCTTGATCAGGCACGATACGGATTGCCCCTGAATGAGTGCGCCCTGAATAATCTTCAGCTCGTTCAGAACGCCGCAGCCCGTCTTTTAACTGGTTAATGAATTTGTGAGCACATCTCCCTTGTTTGTCTTAAAATGAGATGTGATCCGGCTCAAAGATGGAGCGTTCCTATCTTGAGGACACAGAACAAAACTACACCTCACCATCTGTGGTGCAGAATGGTCCTGCTATTCTGAGGGCAAGGTAAAAAAGAAAGGCACGCGTAAATACGCAGTGCATTTTCATTCAAATAGCGGTTTAAATAGGACGGGGGGTGGGGGGGAGAGCCCTCCACTATGCCAACTTGATTTAAAGCACGTTCAGCCTGTTAATGAAGAAACAGACGCAGAAGCACACACACTGTCATGTAACTGAGAGTTGTACTTAAAACAATTCTTATACATAACAATGAGTGCTACCAACAATCAAGCCCACAGATATAAATACAGACTATCCAGTGTACATCACATGTGACTTAGAGAGCATAGACAAGGATTCCAGCAGCAAATCAATACATTGTTGTATACGGTCTACATTTAGTTGGTGCACAGAACATTTGATAAAATAGATCCTGTCTAACCCTTTTGGCGAGTAGTTTAGTAATTGAGGAAATGTACCTCATGCAGAAATGTTCAACTTGCCTTTTTTAAAGTAGTTGACCTCAGTTGAATCAGTCATCGATATATTTCACACAGTGTTCTGTGTTGATCTGTGAGTTCAGGGGCCAAATGAAAGGAGAGAAGTTTAATGAAGTGGCCAGAATACAATCTATAAAACGATCATGACTTTAATCCCGCCTGCAACGGCACCTAGCTCTTAAGGGAGTGAGAGCTGAGCTCTGATTGGTATGATTCATGTCACTCCTAAAATATACCTTTTGTATAACCAAGCTACTAAATCCAACAATCTTTTGGGCCCTGCACCTTGCTGAGCACCCAGACTGTGGGCTGCCTTCATAACAAAATGCAGTTGGACAAACCCCAAATCACTTTTGAAAGCATGCTTTAATCAGTCAAAATAGGACCCTGAATGTTCTGGCAGTCTTGATACTCATATTAGCTTCAGTGACATTACTTTGTGTAGATGAGACAACAAATGTAGCAGAGGATTGTCTGTAATTAAGAATGTAAGATTTCTTATTTCACTAAGCAAACAGAGAACGGTGTCAGTCTAATCTACCTTTGTAACCACTTCCTCTGTTTGTCATGGATCTATTTTTCTGGCTTTTGCACTGAAAGATGATGTCCAAAATTCTCTGTTTATATGCAAAACAGCAGAGCCTTTAGAACCAGTTAACCGTGTTTGACAACATTCAAATAGTTAATCATCTGTAAGGGATTTAGAAAAAATAATTATATACATTGTGATCAACATGAAGATTTTCAGGCCAGATGTGCTAACAGATGTCCACACTAACTGTCATCAAAACGATGCGATTACTATTGTTGTTGTTATTTTCACACCTGCTGTTGTGGACAAACGATGTTTATCCCTCCAGTAGAGATAATTGTGGAACATACCTTAAGTTAAAACCTTATATACAACATCTGTATCTGATCTGATGAAACCTCAAATGATGGAAGGAAAAGACGATTGCGTTTCCAATAATGATAAATCTCCGCAGTGTCACTTCAGATCCTCTAAAGCCAGCAGTGTGTTTATTTCATCCCTGAAGGACTTTGTGTCTTAATGCATCTACACCGTGGCAACTGAAGAGCTGCATTACTTCACTTGATCTATGTCTTTGTTAATGCTGGACATTGTAGCCTTCAAACATCCTTTCAGAATGTAAATGCCTGACTATGGGCAGGTCTGTTTCTTACCTGTATCTGTCTTTATTCTCGTTACATCATTGCACATGGCTTTTTTTTAACTTCTGGTTTCTATTCTTATTTGTGGGTATTTTACGGGCAAAGCAGCGTTCAATTTTGTTTGTGCAAAGCCGTCCACTGCAGCTGCCAAAAGCTGTAACATCCTTTGCCACGCATTATTCATCAATTCACTGAACAATGCTCAAGCTGAGAAACCAACATCTGCCAGAATGTGTTCTGAAGAAGTTGCATCAGCAGCTGTGTTCATTCTGGAGCACAATCTGCTGCTCCTTCTTTGTCTCGTGCGTGCGTTTGGGAATGTGTCTCTGTGTGTGTGTCGATTGAGAGAATCTCTGTGTGGCTTTCGGGGCTCTATAACTTTTGGCTTGATGTGAAACATCGAGCTAGAGCTCGCTCGATTATGATGGGATTAGTTAATTGGGTGAAGATGTGGAAAGTGAATTATGTGTGTATCTCATGCAACGCCACTAATGGATGGAAAATACTTCCAACCTCATCCTCCTCACACCCTTAAACCAAAAAACTTCTCATAATTTCCAACTTGCATTCTAAAATGAACAGATTTAGCATTTCAGATTTATATCATCTTTCCACTTGGCTCTCTTGGGCTGTCTGTCATCGTGGCCGAGGCTTGAGCCCGGTTGTAATTTACTGCAAGGTTGTTATCGTTACTGTAACACAAACAGCCCGCTCGGCTCCTGTATTCATCATCCTGACCCAATGAATGCCCCTCATTTGAAAAAATGTACCTGGTTATTAAAAACCAATATTACACCATATAATGTCTGAGAGTGTAACCTTTCACCGCAACATTTTTCTGTCACTCTGAAATATTGGAAAGCCTTTTTTATGTGCTTCCTGCTTTCTGTTTCAGATTTTTGTGTTACACCACGGTGGCTTGAAGTTCAAATTACCCTAAAGAGAAAAAAAAACAGTTTTTCCAGAAAAAAAAGGAGCCGCGATTATCTGGCACCTCAATTATTGTTTCCACAAGAACCAAAGCAGCTCTCTCAGTCGCACGCATCGGTACCAACTCTGTAAGAATGCCAGAACAAAATCCTTTTAACAGAGACACTGAAGGCTCGCCAAAGAATGTGCTGTTCACCACTCTGTGACTGAACAGGAAGTGAGCTGCTTTTCCACAGGACTGCGCAGAAAATGGTTTTCCCATGAGTGGTGGCATGTGATCAGGTGCATGTGCTTTCTCGCCTGTTAATATCTGCTGTCAGTCAAGCCAAAGAGATCCATAGAGCGGTGTCAGAGAGGAGTCAGACTGCAGTCCAACAGTTCATCTTCTCAATGCTGTGAGAGCCGGAGAGGTGTTAAAAATGTTCATGTCATGTACTTTAAACCCCAACAAATCACAAAAATAAGCCTAAAAACGTAGTCTTAACAATAGCTCCCCTTCAGCTTTTTGTGCTGTAGTTACAACAGAAAAACATGCAGAATCCACTTTTTTCACTTCCTGTGTGTTTCCAGACCTTGTGAGGTGTAATTGCTTTTATTTGTCTGCATTAATTTTTGTGTAGTGAGAGCTAAGGGATGTAGTAATTGTGTGAATGTCTTTCTTCTTCTGCAGTGGATCATAATTGAAGGGCCTACGCATACAGTTCATAATGGACCAGACAATGTCATGAAATGATGAGAGAATACAGTAAAGAATATAGGAAACACTCGTGTCCATCATGGTGAGGTTTGTTCGGTGATTGGGTTTTATTCTCTCTGAATAAAGATAATGCTAAAGACGGACATATACGTTCATTATGATGTGAGTTCAATTGTGCTTATTATGTCATTTCCAGCCTCCAGGATCATGAATGGGTTTATCATAATTTTCTTTCAAGTCTTGTAAAAATACTGCAGCTTTGTTGGAGGCCCTGTGCCTAAAAAAAAGAAAAACGACGCTGTAACCGTGTAACATTATTGTCCTCCATCTTATTGTGTTGCTATGGGCTTTTGAGGTCAGGTTATGTTAGCTCACTTGCTGGAGCGCGTCACATGTAAAGAGGCAAGAGTGCTTTCATATCATCTTTTATGAACCAAACCTATGGAACAGAAAGTTATGTTTAGATAGGGGAAATTGTATCGTTGAAGACACAGGATAACTGCTTGGCGCTAGTGCTAGCTCTGGGGCTATGAGCTCCTGCTGCAACTCATCCCTCTGCACCCGCTTTACCAGCCTGACACTTCGTGCTTTCGCCATCCCCAAACTCCGGGTTGAACTCGCTACTCATCTCTTTGCTACAGTTTAACATTCTCCCTGTCATCAAACACTGACACTTCACCCACAGAGAGCCCTCTGCCCCGGGCCTGACAAGTTCAAAACCCTCGGACGGAGGTCCCGTACTCAAGCGGTGCAGATAGCCGGGCAGCCAACTTAACAAAGCTACCGGTCAACAAGATCTCATTTCTCAAAGTTGTGTGTTTTTTCCCCCTACATGTTATAAAGTCGTGTTAGCTCTCTTCGGTACCAACATATCCAAAATAAAACAGTTTCATGACATTAACTGCATGCTGATTATTGTTTAATATTCATGACTCATCATATTAATTAAAATTGGCATTTTAAAGACTTACCTAATGTTGCTAATATATTAGTGCAAACTTTATCACTTTATTCTAAACGGTCGTACGTGAACTTTTTTTTTAGGATTGGAAACTTTGAACATTGTTTGAAAAACTGTCACTAGATGGGTACCTTTACTGACTTTGAAGCCTCAGACTAAGTGGCCATATTTGACTTAGTAATAGAACATGTATGGACCAAACTCACTCACTCATACAGTGCAAAGTGTGCATATATTTGGAAACTCATTGTGCGTGTTTGTATTTTTTATTATGTTGAAGGAGTAGATCGTGAAAATTGTGAAAATTGTAAAAAGAAAAAAAAAAGGTGTCTAATGTTGCTGTTGTTGACAAAATGTGTGAATGTGAGGTGTGAGGTTGTGCTTTGCTGCAGCAGCACTTTAAAAATCAACTTCCTGATTATCCTGCACACTGACTAGACAGTTGAAATTATTTTTTCATCATTCTCATCATTACCGTATATATTACACATCACTTTGGAGTTCTAATTTCTAGATATAAGAAATCATCTTGATCTCTAATGCATTGTTTGAAGGAGAAATTGGAGCCTGCCTTCAGAGCAATATGATTTTTCTGTCTTAAAGAGTGACATAATGAACTCATCTTGACTGTGCTTAGGACGATGACCTTTCTCACATTGGATTCTAGAAATGGCCGTGAGAGGACATGGATCTATATCATTAGTATCTTTTTTTGGAGCATCAAAAAAGAGAGTCTTTAGGCAAGAGCAGAGTCTTTGCAGAATGGAGAAATGTCAGTCTCTGATGCAGGGGAATTTTTGAAACT